TATCGTTGCTTCTGGAATTTTTCATTACTAATATGCACATATTTGGGTTAGGGTAAATTGGCTGAGTCCTGCACTTAAGTTGGAATATCTCCTTCTGTAGATTGGATTAATTTATAATAATTTATACTATCGCTTGTTAAAAATAAAACTCCTTAATACTACGAGTACCAACTATTATAATCCTTGGATTATTTTCATAATTTTCTTCTATTTTTGTTATATTGGAATATTTAAAATCATACCTGTAAGTTGTAACCAGATTTAGCTTCATTTAGCCTGATATGTCCCACCATATTAGCTTCACATTCATGGTTGGTTGAAAGTAGAAATGATGACAGAATGACTTGCAGCTGGAAGAAAAGAGATTCTTGGTGCCTTTACAGGCTGCTAATTCTTTCTTTCTTTCTTTCTAGTTTCTTCTGGTCGCCCATCACATTTCATTATGTAAATGGAAATCTTCTATCATTTTCAGGAAATAATGCAAAATACTATAAATGGCACATAAATAAAAGGAAAATATCAATGGGCTTTGATCATATCCAGTGCATCCCAAACATTAAATGATGCAAATTACTCAGCCCCACCCCCTTTTTTTTCACCTATCAGATTTAGAGATGCAAATCCTTGTCACCTAACAAAATAAAGATGTTTTTTTCCAATTAAATTGGACAAATATCTTGACCGTTATTCGGTATGCTAGGAATGGACTTTAAATTAAACAATAGTCTAACATAGTCTAGAGTAGCTCATTTAGATGGATGGGAATGGGCTCTAATCCAATCCAATTCAATCCAGGCCGAGCCACCCAATAAGCAATAAATAAAACAAACCGAAAGTAAAGGGAAAGAGTAAAGTGACAGTCACCAAGACAAAGGAGCGAGTGAATTGGGATGTGTCAAAAGAATACAGAGGATAATAAATTAATAAAAGTGGTTTTTTTAAAAGAGAAATAAATGGTAAATAAATATGAATTCTTGTTCTAGATCCGACTAGAATAAATGGTAAATAAATAATGAACACAACGGTGGACAAAAGATTAAAATAATAAGGACCAACATTACAACAAATTAACACCGTCCTTGTTCCATTTCAGATTTCAGGTACACCACCTGCAGCTCCCAATCTCAAATCTCTAGAATAATGCCAAAACTGCCCATCCCAATGCAATGGATCCGACTACCTTGTGCAGGCACCTCACTGCTCCACTCTGCATTTTCAAAACTATTTCAGAACCCAATGTATAATCATTTATTTAATATTTACCAATAACAACTATTTATTTACTTCTTCTTTTTTGGGTGAATAACTATTTATTTTCATGCAGCACCAGTTGATTATAATAATGACACCACTCTGACTCAATGCTTTCTCCTGGGCCTGGGGGTAGGGGTCAAATTAGCCAGGGGCAATTAAGTAAATTAGCCATGCTAGCCAACTTTACCCACCACCGACGGTGGCGCGTGACCATGTTGTGCAGGATGTTGGCCATCGGTGGCCGGATAACCCACCACCTACCACTCAGATCCCAGATCAACAGATCTGGATGAGATTCAAAGCATAGCGCCAACTACACGCTCTAAAGCGCGAGTGAGCAAGCACGGCCAACATCACTGAAACGCAGCGTTTTGATGAGTGAGAACAGAGGCTCTCAGCGCGAAGCAAAGACGTCGAGGGTCGGAGTTTCAGAAGAGTGTGTGGAATCCAGCTAACTAAATCAATGTTTGTAAATAACTTGGGTTGATTTTGAACCGAAAGTTCCAGATCTGGATGCGCATTGCACCCACTGCGCATATTAGATCTAAACTAGACAAAAACTCAAAAACAAAAAATGAACCAAATAAAATCCAACTCAGCATTACCTGATCGTCAGCTACAGAAGGACCAGGGGTTGAAGCATCGGGGCTCGCTGCTCCAGGAGCCTCAGTCGGAGGAGCGGGTGGGGTGTCCGAA